GGCTGAAGAAAAATTTTGAAGCATTTGTTTCAAAACATAAGGATCCGTCTGAGGTTTTTCTTTAGAAATACATTAATGTAGCCATATCTTTCAGTAGACAAATTGAGTTTCCTTCTAATATTAACGAAATTATTTTATGTAGATTTATTTTATGCTTTTTTTTAATGTAGTTTAAATTGTTATAAGGCTGTAATTCATACCTTGATAAATATTATTAATTGATATTATATTATTGATTGATATTACATAATCCAAGAAGTAAAATAAATCTTTTGGTCTTATTCACGTATGCATTTAATTAACGTTTTTTAAGCGTTGATAGTATCAATTTCAATTTAAACTTTAGTAAGATTAATTGATTATGTAACATACAGGCTNTATTACTTTCATAAAACCATATATTAATGTTAATTTTACCAAAATCATTATCAAAGCCCTTCTGTAAAAAGTACCGAGTTTTGTGGTGTTTCCATAGAGCCAGAAACACGGTAAATTTGACCTTTTTCTGGAAGATTTGACCATGCATTTTTTCTGGGAAGTGTTTCAGTGCGATTATAAATTGAGTAAATATTTTAAAGTAATGTGAATTTAATAAAAATATTATTGTAAAAATGTTTGATAAATGTTTGCTTCCTTTTCTCATTCAAATTAAGTATTTTAATTTTGAGAAATCCCATGTTTTTTTTCTTCTATTATTTATAAATTTTTATTGATTTTTTTTATTACTTTTTATTGTTATTTATGCCGCTAATTGTAAGTTCACTCGTAATATTTCTCATTTTTTTAAGAAAATAAAAATTCCTAAAAACATTTTTCTCTTTCCATTTTTTTACAACTTTCCATTTTAATAGAATTTACTTCAGTTTCTAGGCAGTTTGTTTATTTTTTCCTCAAATTGGGAGATGATCAAAATTAATGAGTTTATTTTTTATAAATTACCTTATATTAATTACCTTTTATAAATTACCTAATATTATAATTTTTTTTTAACATTTGCAAACAATGTTTTTTGATGTAGTTTCATTATATCATTGTCAAAGATATTACTACTATAACATAACTTTTACATTGTCAAAAAATTAAATTAAATAAATAAATACAGCAGATAGACAACACGCACTTTACCTAACAATGGATAAAGCTTTGTTAAAAATATAATATTTTTAATAAAAATAAATACTGAGCGGTTAAAATATTATTGCTACTTATAAAATTGCCGACGAATGTATAATCGTGTTTGAACGGGCCTGAAGAAAAATTTAAAAGCATTTGTTTCAAATGATAAGGATTCCTCTGAAGTTTTCATATAGAAATACATTAATGTTACCATTTCTTTTAGTGGACAAATTGAGTTTCTTTCAAATATTAACGAAATTATTTAAGTAGATTTATTTTACGAATTTATTTTAATGTAGTTTAAATTGTTTTAAAGATGTAATTGATAGCTTGATAAATGTTATTAATTGATATTATATAATTAATTGATATTATATTATCCAAAAAGTAAAACAAATCTTTAGGTTTTATTCACGTATGCGTTTAATTAACTTTCTTTAAGCGTTGATAGTATCAATACCAAATGAAACTTTAGTAAGATTATTTGATTATGTAGCATACTGGCTATATACATGACATCTACTGAATAATAGCTACTGATATATATTGAACATAATTTGACAATTGTTACTTACTTGATAATTGCAGCTGATGCATAGTGTTAATTACAAGATAAATGCTACTTATGCAGTCAATTACATGACAATTGCTTCTGATACATAATAGTAACTTTTTTTAATATTGCTACTGATTGTTACTGACAGTTGTTTGAATGGTTGATTACATTCCATTTTTGAACTATGTATATATTTAAGTTTGTTCATAAAGTTAAGCTACTTTTGATATTGAAATGATATATTATATTGTTGTTATATTGTTTGCTATATTGCTTACTATATTTGTACTTATAGTTAGATTGGTTGTTGGAGCATTGTCTTCAAAATAATTCAAGTTTATTGTTTCGATTGTACGTAATATTTACTTACAATTTTTTTCAAAGTTGTACCATATTATTCATAAATATGAAAATTTAAGAATTATCTGAAATTGTTTAGTTATTTTAAAATTATGCTAATGAAAATAATTTTTACCAAAATCATAAGATATTGCTCGGTTTTTTGTCAAGTTCATATCAACTAAATCTACGACAGACCGACGCCCAGTCTCTTTGACACTCTAAAGGAGCCGGTAGTAATCATACTTCCAATCCTTTCATTCTCCTTTACCAAAAGGTTTTGTGACCGAATGGGACACCTACTAGCATGAAGATTGACCACTCTTTCATCTTACCGACCAATTATGGGATGGTTAAAATCAGACCACCCTTCTCAAAGTCTGACCAGCATGGAAGATAAAAAGCTGGGCGAACACTTCCCGACTAAAGTCGCGATTTAAATAAGATCTCAGAGTTTACAAGTGCAACCAAATAGAAAGATCCAGCGATATTTTCTTAAAAGACCACTGTCCATTCCGTCCCAACACTACTTCCGCCGGATTTCGCAAAGGATCGTCCATCTTGCTGTAGGTCGGAAAGGATAATAAACAAAATAGCAGGAAAAAAATCCAGCGGATTTTAGGCTTGATCAAGCTTGAGGTGCAGGACACATTGGTCCGGACATCATAAATACATAACATGTGGTACTTTTAGCGATTTTTCCCCAGGAATTTTAAGTGCTGTATGGATTTTTTTCCCCTCCTTGAGTATTTTTTTTCCTTCCTTTTTCTAACGTCATTTTGTAAAGTAAAAAGGAAGCAAGTAAGGAAAGAAAAAAAAAAAAACCTGTGAAATGTTTGGTTTGGTCAAGCGTATTGAGGGCGATCAATTCAGTGCTTTTAGCGCTCTGAAAACGAAGAGAAAGTTCTGCCAGCTTGCTATCTTTTTTCTAGCTATTTTTTTTACGCTGTTTAATCTCTACAGGAAGTGAAAAAAGAATAAGTTACCTATCTATTTCATATTTGTTCATTCCCCCCCCCTGAGTATATATGTTAGTTAATCTATTAAGACATAAAAATTACCGCAGATGATTTGGTTGCATTTTTTGTGTCATTTTAATCGAAGAATTTTCTTCTACTGCAAAAGAGTGTTCATATTTATCCTAAAATTAATTTTCTAATTTTAATATATTAATAGTTGATTGCTATTTAAATTTTAATAACAAATTTTATTTGAAAAAATTTTTTTATTCGGAAAATACAACGAAACAAATACAGTAGAAATAGGTCCTGTAGGTTTTCAAAATTGAATGTGTCTTATGAAAAAGAAATAAACTTAAGAATAAAGTATAACATTAAAATTACATTATAATTATACACTGTTGCTAAAGAACTGTGTCTTGTATTTCCTGAAAGAAATGGTATTTAATTCGAGAAAATTAATTACGTTATTTTAGAATTGATAATTTCATCATCATCATTTTATAATTATGCTCTTTTTTAACTTTAAAGTATTGTTTTTTAATAAAATTTACCAAATCAGGATATTTTATAGTAAAAAATTACTCTGTTGCAAAATTTCAAAGATGTGAAAATTTTTTCTTAGCAATGGCAAAAAATATTTAAGATATTGATTCATGAATTTCGCATAATTCAAAATGTGAAATTGATTGAGACTACCCAGAGTACTTAATTAAAACTATATTTTAAAAAATAAAATAATTTCAAATACATACGTGGGTATTTCCTTTATTCTTCTAAACATAAATTTCAAGAGATGAGTATTTCCTCCTGTCTATTTGAACAGTGATTTTATCGACAGATGTTAAACTTAAGTTACAACTTATAATTTCGAAGTAAATAGTATTGTATTTGTTAGAAATCGTACATTTTTGAGTTAAAATTAAAGAAAGAGTCTTACATTTTCTCTCTATTTTTATAGTCAAGTTATCAAACTTGAAGAGAACGGTTGGCTACTTTTCAAAATTATGCATGACATCTCTATTTATCGTCTTTTGTTAATTTTGATTATTAATGAACTTTCGAAAACCACTATGATTTAAATTATTCTGATTTCCTCTAAATTTTTATCAAATGACTAAATCTAATAATCTGGACTAAGTAGGGGAAAAAAACAATTACAACAAATAGAAACAAACAGCATGACACTTCAAAAAGTACAGATATATTTTTCAAAAACAATGGGAATATGTTTAGGTAAAGATATTTAACTTACCATAAGCAACAAATTGCGCAATATCTATATTTATATCAAAACGCGTGTACATATTTCTTATAATTTAAGTGAAGAAATTATAGCTTAATGTTAATTGTTACATTTTAAAGAGCAGTTGTTTACTAACTAAATTGTTTTCACCTAAAAACCTCAAAGCAGGATGGTCAACTAAATACGACAAAATTATTAAATTTTCTTTTTTTAAATATTTAACAAAACTATCAAGAAAAATTTTATTGATTGAGATTAATAACTTTTAAAATAAATCTGTTACTTTTCATCCCGCAAGGGTAAGATACATTTACTTTAGTATCATTATATTTGATTTACTTTCTTCCTATTTTATAACCGGCACAGACAATTATGTTTACTTTCATAAAAGTAAATACAACTTTATTTCTCTCAATACTTTTTTTAGCCAAATTCCATACTTTTTTTTCCGATACCGACGAGGAAATTGCCAACAGAATATAAAACAAATCTCTTTCATGTTCTAGGTCCCCAAGAAAACAGTTATTGTTGACATAACAAATATACACCCAAAATTGCATCATAAACAACAGCACTAAACCTAATAACTTCCACTAAATGGCCAGGCAGTAAATTTGTACTGCTGACCAATCTGGCGACTACTTGGACATAGCTTTTGGAAATCACGAAACATAAACATAAAGAATAAGTAAATAAATAAAAGCAGTCCCAATTCTTATTTCCCAATGCTGGAAAAATCATCCCCCATCCCGCTTTTATGTGACGTCACAGTTCCGAGGGCCGTTCTTGTACCGGGGGAAATTTTTCCAGCCACTTGTGCTGTTTGAGTCCCCATGGAAGGATGGGCGGATCAGAGTGAGATGTTATGCTCTCTAATTAAGCGTACCAACACGCTCACTTAGCACGAAATCGCTTAGCACAGTAAACAAACATCAAGCTCTTACAGCTTGCTTAAGCCTAATATTCTTCGTCAGCAGATGATCTGATTAATTTTGAAGGCAGAAGATTTCTATTTTCGTTAAAACTATCGTTTGATATTTTTAAAAAATAAAAACGATAAAAGTGAAAATTGTAACTGTGGTGGAGTTGAGTTGTTAGGAAAGCGACTTTTTACGCGTGAGGTAAAGGACAAAGCCACGGCTCCGTTTACAGTAAGCACCGTTCAACCTGCGGAACGGTGTCGGCAGGAAAAACCTAACAGGGGCATCACGGGTGCCTATCCGGTTTTTCGGTAAGTAATAAACAAACAATTGTGAAATTGTAACAATACGATCTTTTTATTGATTTTTATCATGACTAGAGTTAATTCCAATATTAAATTAATAATTTTACTGGTTTACCTTTTAGAAATATTCTTTTCTGAATTATTCTCTGTTCCTCATATTAATTTATTTGTGCTTTAGAGTTTTAAATTATTTTCCATATACAAGTTTAAATCTGTTTTTTACAAACGGAATCAACAGTATAATGGAATTTTTTTTAACTATGTAGTTAATGTTTATGATAAATAAATGTTTTGTAAATATTTGTCATAATTAGAAATTCATACAAAAATATTGACAATATAGCAATAATATGATAAATGACATATGTATGATAAAATGATTAAATGTAAACACTATTGCATATCATGTTATTAGTTGTTATAACTTTTCCTCATAAATGTTCTTTTTAATTGAAACTGACAAATTTTTTCTTTATTATGGTGGCTGTATTTTTAGGGAGAATGATTATTTTTTTCATTCTCTCTCTATTTTTTCTTTTTTTTGGAAAAATTTATTTTTTAAGTTTAGTTCAAGCAAGATTGAACTTAACGCATCGGCATTTATTTCATCTGTGAGGTGAACCCTTAAAATAAAATTAGCTTAAAATTTTCAGAAAAAAAAGGAGAATGCTTTTTAACAAATAAATTTTTATTAACTGTCAGTAGTTAAAAGGATATACATCTGTTTTGTTTTTATTAATTGAATGAACATTTTATCTGAATTTTTGGATTATTTGCAATAGAAACGCTTTGCCCAGCTGATTTGTTTGTACAAACTGCCTAATATGGACAAAAAGAAATACGAAACTCTTACAAATATTTATTCACACATTATTTTAAAATTTGTTTACATTTCTAATTGTTTTCTTCTCTCTTCAAAAAATAATTTAATTTATGGAAGTATTTTTTAAATAAATTAGAATTTCATCACATTTCCGAATGTTCTACTGTGGAAGTTATCCATGATTAACCCAGTTCTTTCTTTTAAAAAAATGTAGTAAGTAATTGTTTATTATTGTTTTTATAAATTCAACGAATATTAAAGAAAAATATAGATGTTTATAGGTTTTCGTATGACAAATAATTGAACCTAAGAAACAAATAAGATCTCTAGTTGCAGATAGTCAGATAATAAAATTGAACTAAAAAAATATTTGTGATTTTTATTACGTATTACGATGTTATTACTGAGGTATTTAAATCTAAGAGGGAGTACAGTATCGCTTTAAAATAAAACCTGCTAAAGCATACATTTTGATGTAGGTAAGAAATTTAAAATACAAAGCGTTTCGTGTTAATTTATTTAAATATTTGTCTTTTTAGAGATTTGAGTGCCCCTGGGCAAAGTTCATCCCTCACCATTCCAGGGGCTACGGTGTACCAGGGTTGTGCAGGGGCAACCGACGACGTCATGCCTCATAAAGGTAAATAGAGCATTTTTTTTTTTAAATTTTTTTATTACCTCTTTTCTTAAATTTTTTACTAGAAAGGTAATTTTTTTAGTAAAATGAAGTGTTTACGTATAACATTGAATTGAAATTTTAAACTAAAATATCAATATTGCCTTTTTTTTATTATTATATATATTTTTAGATCAAATAATTAATAAAATAATTACAGTTATTTCATGTTCACAAAAAATTTTGGAAACACGAAGAAAAAAAAATCGAATTTCATCTGTGTTATGAAAAAAAGAAGTAAATAAATTGCATTCTATATAATGTTGGTATAAGTTTATGAAATAATAGGTAAAAAATTATTTTATAACAATTAAAATATAATAAATTTTTACCAATTAAAAAACTAAAAATACTGGTTAAGCTCTATCTTTTTTAAGTTTATTCTGCTTCTTTGAGTAAGATTGAATTATGTTTCCGCTAAATGATTTTTATAATTTAACTCTTAATTTAAATTGCAAGTTAAAGAGATTGAATTGAAAAAATACGTAATGTAAATTTTTTATCGAAACATTATATTAGATAGTTTAAAATTTAATTTAAATCTTTAGCTTTATATATAAATTATCTCCTAATTTAATTCATATTACAATAACATGAATTAAATCAGATACTCCATTCATCTAAATTTAATTAGATAATTAATAATTAGATTTTGCAAGCATAGTTTTGTAAAATTAAAATTAGGTTTTCATTTAAAGTTTAGCTAACACAATAATATTTTGAAAATTTCGTTTTAAATCTGTTATATGAAAAATTTTAAATAGGAAAAAAATTCTCCAATCAAGTTAAATTGCCATAATTTTCATATTTATTTCAATATAACTTCCGTACATTGTATACAGATATTTAAAAGATTTTGTTTCTTTATTTTTATTTAAACAGTTGTAAAGCTTTAAGTATTGAGTAAAGCTTTTAAAATAGTGCTTAAATATTAATCCAATAACGTCAAGCCTCCTTTTATTTTTGATATAACTTTTATAAATAGTTGAAATAGTAATGATAACTCTAACAAATACAATTGGATATTTGAAAGATATTGTTTTTGAATTTTTATTTAAAATATACACTACGAGAAGTAAATTTTAACAATATGCTTAAGCAAATGTCCTAAGACTGCTGCAATGTATGTTACCGCTACAATTAGATACTAATATGCCGTTATTAAGTTAAATATTATTACACTGTTTTAGTTTTCATACATTTCATGTTATTAAAAAAGTTTCTGCTTTTTAATGATACTATAGCTATGATTTTAATTTGAATTTAAAAACGGATAATAGCATTTATACTTTTCTAAAACTTATACGCAATTTTATTTGGTTTATTGTCTCATAAAATTATTTGCAACATATACATTTTATGCATTTCTCTCTTCAAAATTTGTCTTTTATTTCAAAGTAAAAAGATGATTGATAATAGCAAATCTCTGAAAATACAAGTATGATTTCTCATGTAGTTATTTTTATGTAAAAGGTTTCAAGCAATGAATTGAAATAAATTTCTCGATAAACTTTTTAGTTTTATCTATTCTTTTTACAATGTTTCTATATAATTGAATTGTAGATTTTTGATGTAGTAGTTTCTTATTATTTCTAAAAGTTATTCTCCTAAGACCATTTATTTTTACTTTATAATTTTTAATATTAAGGGCAAAACATTAGTTTTTTCTAAAAGACTCTTATAAAATTTTTTTGAAAAATAAGAAGAAAACAATTTTATTAAAAAATTAACTTTTGATTTATTTATCTTTAAGATAAGTTCAATTAAAAGTTATCAATATTTAAATTCCATGTTTTAATAAAATATGACATCTATTCATCGATTACGCAGATGTAAATTTCACTAATAGGGATATTAATAATTTGAGCAATTTTACAATTCCCCAAATTATGTTTGTTACTACATAATACATATAACTAATACATTATATATTATTATATAACTACATAATATAGTATTATATAATTACATAATATAGTATTGTATAACTATATAGTACAGATTATTTCCGTTACTTTTTTTCCTCAACGAAAGCTTGAATGTGGAAATAACTATATTAACCTATTTTTTGAAACAGAGGAATTGTAATTTTGAAAAAATGAAGATTTATAGAGAATTACAAAAGTAATATTTTTATGTATATATATATATTAAAACGTTTTAGTACTCAGAAGGTAAACAAACAATGGTTAAAAGAACCAAAAATTTCATTTTAACCAAATAAACAGATACATTAAATCGTACATTTTAATATCAGAGACGCCTTGAAGTGGTTAAGATTGATTATTTCGTCGATATATTGTAAAATTTATTAGAGTTTCTAATTTTGAATTGTATTGTAATTTATGATATAATGCACGGCAATTTTTTTTAATAAAACTTATAAGTTTTTAAGTATGAATTAAAATAAACTTATACACATTGGAATTTAAAAGTAAAGCTCTAAAACTAAGAGCCTTAAGAATTTTTTTTAAGTGGAATCTATAGAGGAACTAGTTTAAGGAAAAAAACAAGCAAATGACATAAAGTATTTATATTTTCCCAATATAACTAAAAAATTTCAATGAAAAAAGAGGAATTGAAGTTTTTATTTTTCCTAAATAGTTATGGAATTTTTAGAATGCTTCTTTAATGTTGAAATAATCTTTCAAAATCTTTGCTCATTTATAAAAGGGAGTAAATGTTTATTAAATAAGATGAATTTTAGAGTATTATCCAGATTAATTATCTATCTTCTATCTACTTTAGATTTTTATCGAGATTAATTATCTATCTACTATCTATTTCAGATTTATTGTCTATATTTTTTTCCTAATAGAACTTGGGTTCTTTGATTTACTATTTTGTAAATTTTCTAAATCTGTTAAAAAAATCTATAGATATCTTTTTCGGAAATTGATGTAAATTTTAAAAAGAATGAGTGATTAAAAAAAACTCAGCAGACAAATAGTTTCTTTACTTTAAATTTTTAAAACATATAGGAATGGAAAGATTGATAAAGTAATTCTTCAATTTCTCACACTTCTGTAATCACCAACAAAACTAGTTAAATAACTTTTTGATGAAATAAAACTCAAAACTCGAAATGCATTGAAATCTCTCCTTTCATTAATTTATGAACAACCTTTGTGCTTCTGTAAATTTACAATATGCACTTACGGCCACATCGCGAACACAAACGTGTTTAAGATTTAAAACTGTTTCAATTTTCTTATTTCCCTCGAAATCATGAGTATGAGTATGCGAAAAGTCAGTTTTCATAACTTGAGCTAGGGCTGTCACGGGAATATGATAAATGAATTTCTTCCTGGCCAGTCTTCCCTTCTTTATTCATGAGATTATTCATAGCTTGGCTGATCATTTCTAAAATGCTAAGGTCTAAGAGTCCGAATTACTTTCAGAAACTACATTTCAGGGTGTAATTGTTGAGGTTTAAGAATTTAAATGCCCATAAAGGAAAAGGGAAGAGAATGATTATATTTTTATCAAGTCAAGAGACTTATATTTGAAAACAATAAGTTTAATATTTTAACGTGGTTAGTTTTCTGATTTTGAAGCATTAATGTAGGTGCGTATTTTAAATTGGTTTTCGTTGATCATGTTAAAGTCTAAGACTCTGAATTATTTTCAGCCACAATATTTTAGGGTGTAATTGTTGAGGTTTAGAAATTTAAATGCTCATAAATAAAAAGGAATGAGAATGATTATATTTTTGTCAAGTAAATAGATTTAGATTTGAACGAAAAATAAGTTTACTATTTTAATATGTTTAGTTTTCTGATTTTTAAAAACTCGTGTACTTATGTGTTTTTAATTGGTTTTTATTGACCATTTCAAAAATGTTATACTCTAAGAGTCCGAATTGTTTCCAGACGAGAAAACTAGACATGTTCATACATGAAATATGTTTAGTTTTCTGATTTTTAAAAATTCTTATAAGCATGTTTTTTAAATTGGTTTATATTGATTATTTTTAAAACATTAGAGTCTAAAAATTCCGAATTGCTTTCAGACAGTACAGTTTAGAGAGTAATTGTATGAGGTTTAGGAGATTAAAAGTTCATAAATGAAAAGACGAGAATGGCTATACTTTTTTCAAGTAAATAAGATTTATATTTATACTATTATGAAAATGCATCGCTATTATGAAAATGCTATTATGAAAATGATAATTATGAAAATTCTATTATGAAAATGATAATTATGAAAATTCTATTATGAGTTTAATAATATGAAAATGCATTATAGTAGAAAATTGGTTATTCGGAGGTATTCGTAGTTTTCCTCTCCGTATAACACAAATGCTAGTTAGTTCCATCAAATAGGTCTCCACGAAACTAAGTTCATCCCACTGCTTGATAAAGGAGTTGAACATCTATAGTCGTATCAACAGCAAGTAACAACAGCTGCAAAATGTATCCGGGATAAATTATTTTAATTTAATCATTCGCTAATCATCTTTAAAAAAAGCTTTTAAGTGTTCGAACTATTTTTAGCAACATTTTACTAAAAAAAGTTTTCGACGTTTAAGAAATTAAATATTCTAAAACAGAAAAGAGAAAAAAGTGCAACTGTTAATTAAAAGGATATGCATTTAAGAAATAAAATTTCTGTTTTAAATAAGTTCAGTTTTCTATGCATTCATCATCTTAAAGTTCAGATTATGTGGTTTATTCTTTATTTTAATAATTGGCTTATGATTTCTAAATGCAGCTAAAGTTTAATTATTTATTTATAAATTATTTTATTGCAAATTAGTTAAAAGACTACTAGTGTTTAGAAGAAATTTATAATTATACTCTAGATTCTAAATTTACCTTCAATTCCAATAATGTTCAATCTCAATAATTTTTTTCTAATGTTACTTAAAAATATTACCTTTTATTATTTATACACGTAAAATTAAAGAGGTTGGAAACAATCTGAAAAGTTCTTTTTTTCTTCTGAATTAAAATATAAAATATATCAAAATATTATAAATGTCTTTTCAATAGTTTTTACTTCTATCTATAATATTATTGCATGATGATAAAAAATTATAGAAAAAAAAAATTAAATGAAAATCTATAGAATAATCAAAAGATTTTACAAATCTAAAATATCCCTAAAAATCATTTTCTTTCAATCTTTTTTTCTTTTTTGTTCATGTACAATTTTAAAATTTTTAGACTAACTGAGAAATTTATTTGTAAATATATAACAATATTGATATCCTTTATAAAATATCTTGTTCATTTTTTAAAAAAAATTTCTATTTATAGAAATATTACTTTTAAATTAAATTCATACCTAAATGTTTCTTAAAAGAAGGACTGTTTGCTAATAGAAAGACTGAAGATATAATTTTGAAGCTTTTTTATTTTATCTGATTGTTATTTATTATTATTGGTTAATTACATTAAAATTCCACTATTGATGCATTGAACAATTTTTGGTTTGGAAAATAATTTCAAAATGATTCGATTCTTTATTAATGGTTATTTTCACTAAAATTAGACATTGGCTGTTTATCATAACAAGCATTTAAATAATATAATAAGTATATCCTACTAAAAAATGATGCTAGAGAGAGAGAAAAAAATTACTCTCGGCTACTGCGGTTTTTCTAGTTTTGTTTCTCGCCTTTATTTTTCCATTTTTCATTGGCAATATTACGTTTTATATTTTAAATCGCTTTTGTTCCTTCGCATTCACGTTTGGCAAGTTTAGCAAAATTAGCGACTATTTTTTAGAGCTGGAGTATTATTTCCAATTAGTACATTTTTGAAGCGAATGAAGTTTTTAATCAAGTAATTTGATCTTTGATTTAGAATAACTTTGTATTGTTATACTCAAATCCGAATTGTTTTTATTTTATTGTGTCCTACAAATAATATCTATCATAAAGGAACGCCCCTCAAAGATGAATGCCTGGGGGAGTCATAATTCGTCATAAACACCCTGGTTTTATATTCCTCCCTCGTAACCTATTCATGTTTTTGGTGGTATGACGCATGTTCACACCACACTAATGAGATCTCTCACTTGTGGCCGTGTAAATGGGGTTTACGATAAATATTCTTATGAATCTGACGATGAAAGAAAAAAGGGGAAATTATTTCGGGGGTGCATAGGGTGCCGGATGCTCCCGAGAACCCCCTATGGGAACCGGAGAGGGTAGCATCAATAATACTTTTATAAAACGTTTGACTGTAAATAGTAAATTAAATTATATGTAGAAAAGTCATAATTAAATAATGTTTTCAGGTTCTTTTCCCCTAGAAAACTGATAATAAAATTATTTCGTTTTGACTTATTTTCCTATTCTATTTCTCAGCTTATAATTTTTGACACTTATTATAACTTAACATTGTTTTTATGATATTATTCCTTATTCAGACAAAAGGAAAAAAAAAAGGAAAGAAAAGAAAAGAAAAAACAAGTTTACTAAATAACACATTAAAAAAAAAGTTTGTATTTCTATGTCATTAAGATTCGCGTTCAAATTTTATACATATTTCAAAATACTGTTATGTAAAATATGATAGTATAATAGTCCTTTGCTTATCATACTACATTTAATAATTATGTTTTTAATAGAAAATGTGGAAAATAATTTTATATTTTATAACTTTAGCAAGCGTTATCTTTCATTTGAAGTAATATTATTATGTACTAAAAACATTGAGGCTAATTTTAATATGCAAAAATGCAGTGACAATCCTATTTTCAAAAAATTAAAATTTGTTGAGAATATGTATACATTTTTTTGGTTGGATACAATATTTTACAAAAGCTGTATAAATACTATCTATGAATTTTAAGAATTACTGAAATGTGAGAATTACTGTGTGAATTTTAAGAATTACTGTGTTAAGCACATCTTTTCTTGCAATAAATGTGTAAAAATCCTTAATTTTATGAGATAATAATTAATTTTATAATTTTGTTGCGAGAATGTGCTACGTGTGGATAAAAAAGAACTTTTAAAGCCTGTAATCCAAAGATTTTAACAGTGAATTTTTTAAAATGATTTTCGATATAATTTCTCCAGGATGCTTTTATTAATGTTTTTAATTAAATGAATATTATTTTTGTCTCCTTCTCTCTTATCTTGCAGTCCAAAATTATTGAAATCGTGTTATTTAACTTGTAACGCAGCATTATCATATTTATAAAAGTTAATTGCACATAAGGTTGCTATAGTTCAATTAATTACATTTTAATTACAATAAGCTCATAAACATAGCTAATTAACAAAGATAATAAGCATAGTTAATATACTATTAATTATATTTGTTAACTTTGTATACCATTCTCAAATATTATAATCAAACATAATATTATGTTTAGCAAATCGAATCTTCTTACAACTATTCCATAGAAGTTATTTTTAACAAGTTTAAAAATAAATATATTTCGTGTTTAAATGTTTTCCTCTGCATGTTATCCTATTAAATTACAAAAAAACTAAAAAATTGGATATAACTTTAAACTTAAAAATTGCTTATAAATGAAGGTAAACTATCTGTATAAAAATTTAATAATGATAAATTTTCGTATATTTTTACTCTTCTTAGATAACATGCCTTAAATAACTTTATAGAAATGGAACAGTCAACAGTAAAACCGATTATTGCTTTAAAAAAACAACTTAATTTTGAATTTTATTAGAAAAATAACTTCAAAATTTGTTCCAGTTCTGTAATAGAATAATTTTAATTGCATTTAACTGAATATAATTGTTTTAACATTGCTAAATTTGTGTTTATGCTTCTTGTAAAAATGTTTTTTGTTTATTAATGTTAAAAAAGCGGTTGATATTATGCATGTAATCCCCTATAGATTCCAGACGAAGTGTATACAGCCCCATCCCCCTGATTGCCGTCCAAGATCCAGGTCAGTGATTTTGATTAAGATAATAAAATTCATGACCTGTTTCTGATATTTACATGTACTATTTTATAATAATCCAAATCCTTTCGTAAAAATTATTCAGATGTAAGTTTATAGCTTTTGTGCAGCATTCTTCCATATATTTAAAATATTTCTATTTTATTTACGGCTCTCATTTTAGTAAAAAAAAAATATTAAATATAGCCATAACTAGGAAGACTCTTAATAGTATAAGAAAGTTGACATGTTTTTTCTTCAAAATTTAAACAAATGTTGAAGATATTAAATTAAAATATTTAATAATGATTCAGTGAATGTTATTACAAATCCGACTTATAAATTCTTTTCGGTGTATTAAAAATTAAATTCAGAAAATTAAAATTTAATTTTTTGACTAAAAAAAACTTAGAACATTAGTTTTATTCATTAGGCATAAATATTCTTTAATTTGGCAAAAAACTTTTACTTGAGATCCGGACAATAAAACACAGCTTTTAAAATAAAGTTGGCGAAGCAAAAATTTTCACTTATCTAAGTTATATAGCTCCAATTTTTACATTAAAACTGAAAGCATATTTTAAATTATATTATCAATATAATTCAATGATATTTTAATTACATTACGCATTCCGCACACGGCTTGCACAGAACACGGTGCTGACGTAAAATATCGTCAGCGGTAGACGGATCATGGATTAGTAGTCGTAAACCCAAAAATTGGGTCGGTTGTTCAACGACGGTTGTAAAATAAAATTCATATAAAACAGACGTGGTGGCTCAAGGGATAAAGCATTCGCCTTCCAATAAAGTGAATAGGGTTCGAATCCCAGTGGTGGCGGGTCGATACAAATCCCTCACCCGACTGGCACGGACCGCAGTGCTGACGTAAAAATATCCTCAGTGGTAGATAGATCATAGGCTAGAGTCCCCTTGTCGTCAGGCTAATAGTAGAAGGTTTTCGTGGTTTTCCTCTCCATATAACGAAAATGCTGGTTAGTTCACTCAAAAAGGCCTCCACATAAATTTCTTCTTTTCTCCCAATTTCTCTCAATACTTGATTCAGGAGGTCCCTTGTCTTCTGAATTGGGTTCAAAATTACAAGGCTAGCGAGTTGAATAATTGTAGTCGTTAACCTAAAATTGAGTCGGCTGTTCAACGACTGTTATAAAATAAAATGCACTTAAAAGTTATAGAGCAATTAATACATCTAGTCCAATCAAAATTCATATAATTTCGTAACTGTTGAATTCAATGTATGCTATATAGACAATAAAAAGTTTAATTTTTTCCCCTTCTAAATTGAAGCTTGGTATGTATGTTTAACATAATTCAGATTCAGATATATGCCTGTTTAATTCGTATACATTCTCATTGCCACATTTTACGAAATTATTATTATATGAAGGATACCCTTTTAAATACTTTTTAAACAATTAAAATCAAGCTAAAGTTCAAAAGATTTCATTATTGAAACATAGAGAAAGTCCACAATCTTGTGTTTTATTTACTTCTTTTCAGCATTGGCCGAAAGGTAAAATTACTTTTTAATTCAAGACAACTTTAAATAATTATGAATACTGTCAGGTATTAAACGCTTAATAAAAAACGTAGAATTTCTTTCACTAATTAAGGCTAGTTTGTCCCAATGCTTTGTTTACGAGTTCCCACACTTTCTGGTTTGAGTTCCAAACTACAAAGCTGCATAGTTTAACATTGATAGTTATAAACACAAAAATGGGTCGGCAGTTTTGACGTTGGTAAAAAAATAAAATTCAACTTTGAACGAAATGCATAAAATAGTTATTGTTTGTATTATGAATCTCTTCAGTTTATTGCTAGATTGCATGCATTATTTTTACGATCTATTTTTTTCTGTTAGCATTCAATGTTGAACAGTAGATTTTCCTGAAGCATTATCCTACGTGAACTAATGAGAATTATAAACAAAATAAAGCTTGCTGCGTTTTTTTATTTCTTTTATTTTTATTGAAGATAGATGTTTCGAAATCAGGAGGTAAAAAAAAATCTTCTTAACCCTTTTGTCGAGGAGAAAAAAAGTTAGTTGTTGTGATTATCGTATTTGAATGGTTTCATTTAATCTTTCATAGGTTATTGACCTCAAAAATACACACACAATTACACGTGATCACGTAAAACCAGAAGTGTTTGGCTAAATAAGAATAATAAGAATGGCATTTTGTTAGGACTATATTTTGAGGTGGTGAAGTGTTCTATTATTGAGGATCGATCCTAAATCAGTTTAATTTATAAATTCATTTACGTTGACTAAATTTGAAAATTTAAATCATATGTTACACTTTAATTATGTTTTAGATTTTAATATTGTTATAAAATATTTTACCTGTTTTTTTAATACTTTGCTCAGTGTTACATTTTGCTTTGACAAAAGCCGTGAGAAATAAATAATAAAACTTAAATTAAATTGAAATGAAAATAAAATAGTAAATAAATAAAATAGAAATAAAATTTCGGTTTATTATTAATACAAGTTGAATGTTCGGACAAACTGAGAAATTGCAAATGAGTGGCAAAATCGACTTTTATAACAATAATTAATTCTTTTGCATTGCCCAAGATCGCTAATACTCCAAACACTGCCCTACATATAATAAATATAATAAAATAAAATAAAATAAAAATAATGAAAATGAAATAAATGAAAATGAAATAAATGAAATAAAAATAAAATAGTAAATGCATATGGTAAAAATAAATATCTGTTTAATATAAATTCAAACTTGATTATCGGGAAAACTGTGAGAAATTGCAAACGAGCTGTAAAATTAATTTTTATAACAGTAATCAATTTTTATATATAACATTAAACTTATTCAACTGTATTTTAAAAATAAAAAGTCAAATTTTAATTTATTCAAACTTAGTAATCTATGAAATTACAAAACTTCTTTTTAAAACTTGGTTTTGTCAAATATTATTCAGTTTCTCTTCAATACATTTTCGATATTTTTTTTCTTTATATTGAATTGTTTACAAATAATGACTTTCAAGAGTTCATTTAGCTACAGTCGAAAAAAAAAATTTTTTTTTGACTTCTTGCATTAATCAACCTATTCTTTAAATTCTTTCACTAGAATTTTCTCGCTTCATTTTCATTTTTATAGGTTTATGATTAAGAGATAAAAATGAGGCACTTCAAATAAAATTCATCTTAAATAAATGTCCCCTTCTAAAAGAAAACGTCGTCGAGAGGAATGGAAAAGGGTCTTTTCTTTTCAAACACTACCCCCCACCTTATCTTATTCAAGAAAAAAAAAAATCGTATTAAAAAGACATCTCTCTGAAAAGATTAAAATGAAATGGAATTATTAATAACAGTGAAAACACATAGAGAATTAAAAAATAAAAATAGTGGACAAAATTTCGTTTTAGTCGAAAGAAAACGCGTTTTATTTATTTATTTCTTTTAAAAAAAGAAAAAAATTAAAGCGGCTCTTTTGAGATAACTTCTTTGCACATATTAATTTATGTAATTAATACATCTTTCTCAAGATTCTTGCTGAAGATTCTTTCATATTCAAGCATTTTTTTTTAATTATTGTATCTTTCCTCCTTTTTTTTTTATATCTCAGATTTTACGCGTAATAATAACTTTCTCCAGTTTCGTGCTAAAGTGGTATTTAAACGAAATTTTCAAGAATGTTAATGTAAAGTTATTGCTTGAAGGATTTATTTAAATATTTGTATTTGTTTTTGTATTAGTTGTGCTTTAGTGTGTGAACATTTTTCTGTTTTTATTCTTCTCAATTTCTCACCTTTAATTTTCTTATGAATAAAATTAGTTTTTTTCTTCTTTTAATATTTTGATATATTTGATTTGAAATAATTTATATAAATGCCAGAAAAAATAGCAGCTTATGAAAAATATATATTTGTTTTTGTAATGACTTAATTAGTGTTTCCATACAAATTTTGCTAAAGATTTATTTTGCTCATATACTTAATTAAAAATTTTTTTTTCATTGCGACATATTCACAATTTATAAGACTAATTATGGGTTTATTTATTAACTTTGAAGATTTTTTTATGGATTTACAAACTCTTCCTTCGAATTAAAAGTACAGAACTTACTGAAATAGTTATGAAAAAATTTATGACTATAAAAACTATTTCATTTTGATTTTACATCTATAGTTTTTATCTAAATTTTATTATTAGTTATTATTATTACTATTATTTGTATACTTGTATCAACTCATTTTTTTAAAGTAGAAAGCAAAATTTAATAATTGTTTTTACTTTAAATATCATCAAGATTACAATTAAAAAAAAAATAAAATAAAAAAAAAAACTGAAGGCAATCTGAAATATATTTTTTTCAATGAAAGAAGTTTAGAACAGTTTTATTTTTACTCTATCATAATTATCATTTGTTCCTTCGTTTCGATAATTGTTTCATTCTATAATTATTTCGCTCAATGATTATTTAACTCAAAAATTGTTATTCTTATTGTTCAAAAGGAGTTTAATCCAGTTGTCAAGATCATAAATTTTACAAAGCTAAGATCATATAGATACCCACAGAAATACAAGTTTGTTTCATAAAAAAAAAAAAAAAAATTAAACTACGGTTTTATATATATATATTTTTACATTCGAATTTTTTTTTGCGATAAAATTTTTTTCATTCGTAATAATACTTATTATAATATTAATTGTTAGAAAGGCACAATTATCAAGATCAAAATTTTTATATTGCTAAGATCACACAATATTGGTAGAAATATTCTGTTTCCTCAGAAAATTCAAGAACAGTTTATTTTTTTCCAAACTAAATTATTATTTACTTTTTTTAAGAGAATGGATATTAACTATTTTGTTTGTAAAAAAATGCACTAGTTACTAACAATACTTAGGCCTTATAGAACAGAAATTGCATTTTGTTTCAATTCTTAAGAATAAATAAGTAATTTCTAATAATTCATATCTCTTTGTCTAGTTATTAATTTGTCTCTTTTCAATA